TTTCTACATACAAAAACAATACAAAATTTATGAACAACAAGAAAAAAATGAGTTTAAGTTGTAATTTTACCTTTTTGAGTGATTGATATGAAGGAGAAATTTAGAAAATAAATCAATTTCAGAAGAGAAATTAGAGATTGATATGAAGAAAAAAAATGGAAAATAGACATTTTAATCACAAGTAACTGCATGGGTTTTTTTGGACATTTTTACAGAGGGGCTCCTTACTACTGTCAGAAAGTTCAGGAAAGATGATTGTAATTACCAAATTTCTGGGAGGTTTCAACAACACCAAAAACCTCAAGAGAGGTTTCATTGTAAAAATTTTAAAATATTTGTGATTTGTGCAAAGGACGTATCTTATCATATTGATATTATAATCGTTCGTTATACCTGTGGAACTAGAATCAAGGGCAAAAGATAAATCTGAAACGAACCTATCGGTCACTAACCAGCCCGTCGTGGATATATATGTATGGGAGGTCAAAGAGCTAACACTACAATGACAAGATGAGAACGATCTACTTGAATTAAATGCTATTTTGAGTATTTTGTTGTCCTTCAAATGCAATATTGAATGGCTATGGGCATACAATTTCACCACTCTTAAGCCTTCAAATCTCATTATTTCAAGCATGGTTTTCAAAAACGGACCAGACCGGATGGTCGGACCAGAAAAATCAGGAACTGGATGGAGAAAATTCGGTTTCGTTTTTCTCCAAAACTGTTGATTTTGGTCAGCAAACCACTGAACCGGCCGGTTAATAGTTTGAACCGTTCGAACAGTTTTGACCGTTTTTCAAATTTTAATTTTTTTTATTTTATTTTTTTGTCAGAATGGGCTGACCGTTCAGGTCGAACCAGTAACGGACCCCTGACCGGTTCAGTCGCAGGGTCGGTTTAAAAACCATGATTTCAAGAATAGACATGAATTAAAATGATAGGAAGTGCGGGACCATAGAAAAATGGACTATGGTTTTATATGAGAAAAATATATTGATGAATCGCTCATCATATAAACATGGAATACAAAGTATTAGTCACAACAGAGGTGTTATGTTTGTGGCTTGAATTCTTTGTGAATCCGCTCAGAATTAATTTGATAAAAAAACCAAAGGCAAAATTTCATAGTGGCTTCTGATGGAAGCGTAGAACTTGGACCGACCTATTGGTCCTAACCGAATACGAAGAATTATGTATTTTGAGGGTTTTCTCTCTTGTATACTTAAGTCTTTGTTTTGTGAGAGAAAAATGGTTTATGATTTTCTTGTGAGTGAGATTATAAGTACACAGCTTTGCCATCCTCTCTATTGCAGATTGCATAGTGGATTTCTGCTCTTCTTTCGCCCATGAACGTAGGCTATAAGCTGAACCATGTAAATCTGTGTATCCTCTTTACTTGTTTCTTTTTATCTCTGTTTTTCTTTTGCTTTTGGGTGCCATTGAAATCTATATTTCTGGGTTTTGCACAACATTTTTACATGAGAAAAATGTATAGGTGAATCACTCATCATATAAACATGGAATACAAAGTATTAATCACAACAAAGGTGTGTGTATTATAATTTTAGGCAAGAGCCTCCAAGTTGAGCCTTGGGGCGTTTTCAAGGCATAAGCCTTACGTGCCTTTTAAAACATCAGTCCTCTTACTCTGTAGACGAAATATTCATCATTGATCACATTCTGCAAATGCCAAGACAATCAATTTGCTTTTGCTGAGGTCATGCCTAAGGACAGGAATTAGAGTGCTGTGGTAAGCCATACAAAAGCTAAACCTGTGCACTGCTCTTCAATAATGCATAACTTGGCATTTATTCCCTCATTTGTGCATATCAGTCACCTTTTTTTAACCTTGCCAGGTTGCTTCTAAGGTATGGAACCACTTAATCCTCCTTTCCAGGACGCCTTGGTTAATATTAGTGAGTTGTTTTCTACTCAACTTGATTTTTTGTGGCAATGTACTGAAGCAGCCATTCTGTGGAGTATATGGAACAAGAGGAATGCTAAAATTGTTGGAAGTGAGGCACAAAAGATACAGTCCTTAATTGATCTCATTATGGGGAGAACCATTTATTCAGTTTTGATTTGTGAAGAATTCAATGGAGCCCCATGGATGATCTCTTGAGGGTTGCAGGCAGTTGTAGGATTTTCAGCTAGGAGACAGTAAAGATTGGTTGAATGGAGGGCCCCAGAGGCAATCAAACTAAAGTGAATTCCTATGGTACCTCGGGCTTCAGTGGTGCTATCAGAGATGGCAGTGGCAGTATCCTCCTTAACTTCTCATGGCCAGTGGATTTTGGTAATTCTTTGAAGGTGGAACTTCTATCTCTGATTCTTCAAGGTTTCAAGCTGACCTCATAAACTGGATGGAATGAATATGGGGATTGACAAGTTGTCATTAACTAATTACAATCTGGAAAGTTTTGGGCAACAATGCCTCTTGCAGTCTTATGTGCTATTTGGAAACAAAGGAGTGGCAGGAATTTTGCACACAAAGTAAAACCCTGAGGAGGTGGTCATCAATATGTCAACAGAAATGCTTAAATACTGGATTTCCAACCTAAATTGCTTTAGAGGGGTGGAATTTTCTTCATCTTTTTTGAGCCTAGACTTTTTTGGGGGTCCCTAAGATGTGTATACTATAATGTACAGAATCTTTTTTGTACAGAGGACCATGTATACTTTTTGCTAATTAATACATTAAAATGATACTTTACCTTTTTCCAAAATGCTACAATCTGGAAAGGAGGTATTCTGGATGTTCAGGTTCTTGCTTAGAGAAGCTAGAGAACATGGGCTGAGAACCTAAATGCCTCGCTCAGGTGGATAACTAAAACAGATAGTCTAGCTGATCACTTAGCCAGAACAGGAGTCAGTGAGGAGAATCTTGTGTAGAAACACCTAGGCCAGGTCTTGTAAACTGTACCCACATCATTACCCCTCTATAAAAAATAAGAAACCCTGATATCATCTTGTAAACTGTACCCACATCATTATGGTGCAGGAAAGTAAAGTGCCAGAGCTTGAAGAAACTAACCCTGAATAATTAGGTCATGCCTGAGTTCAGTTGACTAGCTTATTATATTTAATATTATTATTATCCCAACCAACTGTACAAGAAAGACATACATATTCCCAGTGGTGCATTAGGAGCTATCTTTTTCCCTTTCCTTTCTTTTCTTTTTTATTCAGGTTGTAGGAGTTGATAAAAAAATATGCATGCCTTCATTTTGATTGCCCAATTTTGGAAATTTACATGTGTAAATAAATGATGAATGAGTTTATTTAAATTGCAAATCGTTGAGTGGAACGCTTACCATAATCATTCCATAGAACAATGTTTAACAAATAGAGGATAGTTGTTCTTTTTCTGGTTTTTTGATTCCTAATAAATCAAGTTCTACCTCTCATTTATGAAGTTTTTTACTAGGATTCCACAATGGTTTAAATTTTTAAATTACGTAATGATTTGACTTGTGAATAGACTAGTGCCAGAGGTTTAGGTTCATATCCAATCCACCTCTTCCTAGGCCCCGGATGGCCAGAGCCAGCACTAAGTAATAGCTGTAGTTGTCAAGGTGCTGAGGTAAAGATAGAGGACAGGAGAGAGACTTGTTGCATAGGTGTCATCTAAGAGATATTTTTTATATAGAAAACCATGGTTAATTTAGCTTGTTTCTCTAGCTTTTATATGAGTAGTTTGCTTCCCTAGTTGAAGTAACAACTAATAACTAGCAAACACTAAAGGTGATCTAAATTTAACAAATTAAACATAAGAAGTAGAATGCAAACAACACTACATAGTCTGAAAAATAAACCTAGAGGGTGGAAGCCTTATTCTGTCTGTCCAAAGAGATATAAAGAGAACATCTGTGCATGTGTGTACAATAAACCAAATAATGGAGAAAAAAAACTAAAAAAAAAAAGGAGCAAAGCTCGTGACATGTTTAATTTAGTAAATATATACAAGAGACAAAGTGTGTGTTTACATGTTTTAATTGCAGAAAAAAAGAACAATCAGGGGGGTTGACCCAGGTGGGAAGACAAGAGAGAGAGAGAGAGAGAGAGGTAAAAGAAGCTTGTTATGATTAATACCATGCTGAAGACTACTAGTTAAATCCCTAGCACAATGAATGCATTATTTCTGTTGTGATTCTCCCCAAACCCATTTTACAGATTTGTAAATTGAAAATTAGGCTCAGTTTGGAAGGAGTACAAATGCAAATTTGTACAGTGCAAAACTTTGTATTTATATTATTTTGTCTGTATTTGTACTGTACATATTTGTATTTGTACTTCTTCCAAACTAAGCCTTAATTTACATGATGACCTTTTACACCCTTTTACCTTTATCTATATAACACAATATAATTTAGCTACAGTACACCGAAAGTTTTTACACTCCCAATATGAGAACACCAAGGCAAAGCATAAGGCGACCACAAGAAAAATGCTTTATCACCTAGGTGTAGCCTTGACAACTTCGGTAATGGCCTTTTCAGCGAAGATCAGTTAGAAAGGGAATTACCCAATGTTGGTCTCAACTATCCAGGGTTATATGAGAGGTGGATTGGATACAGACCTAATTTTTGGCACTTCTTGCACAAGGTGGCAACTTTCAGACTCAAGCCCTCATCCTCATTCTTGTCAGCCTTGAGATTTTATCATTGCACCAAGCAATGGCCCCTAGTTCCAATAGGTAATTAATGATACAGGGAGCCAATTCTTCTGTATATAAATGTTGTTGCCTATTATAATCTGGACACTTGCTGATTTTTAGATGAATTGGAATTCCATTACTCCGTGCCATGCTATTTCTTATCCTGCCTGGTCCATGTTTGAAATTTTTTCCAGTGCATATCTGAGAATGTGCATGTGCACATTTTTAGACTTTTAGCATAACCTACTGAACCCCACCTCTTTGGGATGCTCTTGAAAAGTGAAAAAAGAAACCATGCATACAGGCAAAGACAACCAAAATCTATGGTTTAACCTTTAAATAAAGAAAATTAAGGCACCATAATAACATAGATATAAGATACGAGAATTCAACCCACTCCTCCAGAATAAACAGGTGGAATGCATATATACATTGGCAAAGAAGCAGCTTACTTTGTTATTACAGAAAGGTTGTTGCTTCGTTTTACAACATTGTAGCCATAGGAAACCAAATACACCAACAAATTTGATGTTCAACAAATTGGTAACCTTTACGTGAAATTAAATTTTGAGATGCATCACTTTTGATCAACTCCATGGAAGAAAAGAGAATATACAGTAATTAGCTTACGTGTGTACTTCTGATACAAAACGATAACTCCAGTGCTGAATCTCAAAGACCTATAATAACATGAATAAAGATTAAAAAGAAACCATCTACAAGAAAGAATCACTGAATCAGTGTAGAAAAGTTCTTAGTTACCTTTTAGCTCATTGAAACCGGAATTTGAAAGATGAAGTAAATGAAATGGTTCATGGAATTCAGGAAAGGCTTTTCTAGTTCTATGTTCCAGTTTGCTGGGATAAAGGAGTTATTAGTTCCTGACAAGTCACACGATGCAAAATAAAACAGGTGTATATTAATTCAATTAAATTCAACTTCACAAAGCCTTATCCCAAATATTTGGGGTCAGGTACACAATTATAAATAGAAACAAGGAAATTGCGAACTAGGAAAATAAAAAAAAAAGATCACATTACCTCAGAAAACCATAAATGGCCAGTGTTCACATTTGAAGATTTGACAATGGTTTCCCACTTTGGATCAACAGAAGTTTCAGGAATCTGCTTCGTAACATTGAACCGTGTACTTTGGTACCGTGAAGAGGGATTCCTGAAGGGAATGGAAGGCAAGGTGCGCGAAAGCCAAGACTCAGATGGTGATTTTGGTAGAGGTGGAGCAAGCGGAGAACGAAAAGAGCTTGTGTAAGAAATGCCTTTATCTTCTGATTTTAGAGGTTGGGGGTTGTCAAAATCCAATTTTTCATCAATAAGCCCTTTGGGACACAAGACAAACCTCTCCTGATCAAGAACACTATCTTGTCTAAACCCCTCTATTCTATCAATGTTCCCTCCAAGATTTGACCTGTCTGAAGTAGGGAGATCAGAATCAGCAGCCCTAAAGATCTGAGGTTCCAATATGCCTTTATCATCAGGAATCTTCAGGTGGTTAATATTTTTAGTGTAAGACTCAGTGGCAAGATTTTCTTCCACCACCAAACCTTCAACCAGAGTTTCAAAATCCTTCCCTGAGCTATTCATCAACAACTTAGCATCTGGAGAACTCGACTTTGAATTTGAAGTCTCCACAATATGTACAGAGTCTACATAGAGAGTCTTCTCAACTGTAGGGCTCACTGAGCCTGATTCTATTTGACTGTTCTGATGGAATAAGATTTCTCTTAGACTTTTATGGTCTTTATTATGTGAATCAATACCATTAGCCTTAAGATTTTTAACTTCTTCAGGAATGCCAAGAAATCCTGATCCTTCACGAAAAGAAGACTGGCGTGTTCCAACCCTGCAAGGTGATATCCTGTTGGGAGGTGACTCATCTGGTGTTTGAGAATCACTCCAATAAGTAAGACGGTTTGATTGACTAGTCAGCTTACTCTCATCCTCAAGAACACCAGTACGTTGAATTCTACTAGCTAGTTTGTGCTTATAGACAGCATCCCATGAGTGCTGCAAAGCCACATGAACATAAAAACAACAAAAATTCAGAAATACACACAAATACATGTAAATGTGTGCTGACAAACATACATACACACACACACAGAGTTATAGAGTTACCTCATCTTTGCTTTCCTTGTGAGATCTAGCATATGTAGTTTTCACCTGTTTGCCAACCTTACGGACAGAAGACACAGGCACTCGAGTCCTAACTTTCATCCCTGGGACTGGGTTTAGAAGGCAAAAAGAACCCTTTAAGCAAAACCGAGGAAATAGCCCACAAGCATTTGCTGATAAATTCCCAGTGTCACCATAGTCATCTTCATCTTCATCTTCACTTTCTTCTTCCCCTTCATCCTGGGGAAACTGTTGTATCATATTAGGCCTATATTTGTATTGTGGAGGTCGTGTATCTCCACTTACCACCTTCTTGGTCTCTCTCGGTTGTTCATATGGCAGAGGTTGCTTTCTTGAAGCGTACTGAGGCATCTCTGCAGCCACTGCTTTCGCTGCAGGTAAGAAACGGCCCAACATGAAATCTCGAGTCTGTGGGTCTGTCAGGAAGGTTCCAGATGATCTTGTATTAGGACCATCCCATGCACTCATCCCAGTCACACTACAGTTCAAGAATGATTCAGTTCTTGACAGTGTTTCAAGTGCATCCGTAAAGGCTTCATCAGCATCTTCCTCAGTATCAGCATCCCCCTTTTTTTTCAAGCTTTCCTTAGATTTTTCCAATGCAATTAGATTATTATCCAAATAAGAAATTTTATGGTCAGGACAATCATTATCCATTTGGGCCTTGATTGCACTTTGATCTTCAGGTTCCTTGTTTGAAGACTGTTGCTTGACATCCAAAACCCTTCCTGGTGGAAGCTTTGGGGCAACAGGAGGGCGTTCAGTAGCTCGTGGTTGGGCCCCACCTCCATCCTTAGGTCTTCCTGGGATCTGTTCCCACAGAAAAGGAACCGCACCAGGATTACTAACAGGCCCTGATTTCAGCTCCGATTTATAATAAGGAAGAGAGGGAATTTTTGGCTGAGACTTCACAATCCTCTTTCTCTCATCTCCTTCTGAAGAAGGTGATGCAGATGCAAAACGCCTTACAGATAGAAGTGGTGCATTAAAGTCCAATTGCTTTTCCTCCATAAGATTTTTCAGCATCATGAACTGGGTGAACTCTACAAAGACAATGCCCCAAAATCCCAATTCGAAATTCAATCCAACCAGGCATAACTCTAAAATCTGAAGGAAAGATGCAAGAAACAGACCACAGAACAAGCCATAAACTTCAACATCCCAGTTTGTGCCCAATCAGAAACTTCCCATAACAATCTCAATTCTTGACTCTTTAAAGAAAATGGAAAGGAAGAATTATCAAAAAATAAATAAATGTTGTAGATTTTCCTCCAAACAAACAAAAATTGAATAAGAGCGCTTGAACAGAAAAATGATGCAGCAATTCTAAACTGAAAAGTCCAATCAAGAAGAAGAAAGTATTTTTAAAATGTCTCTAATTTTCCTAGGAAAAAACAAATAAACAAAGAAAATTATTCAATGAGTGAACAGATTCTTCACGTAGAGAAAATAATAAGAACTAATAATTTCCACAAAAAATAAAAGACAAAATAAAATCCTATTCACCACCAGACCCAGAAAAAAAAAATAAAAACAAGAACAATTTACATAACGAGTTCCATTATAGTCTGCTGAAACTGGAAACAACAAAATAGCAGGCACCTATAACAGAAAAAAACAAATTTTTATTCAAAACTGATCACATGAACGACAAAAGGAGCTTAATTCCTAATTCACTCTGAAGCTCTGATCAACCAGAAGAAAATTAGAGCAGCTTAGAAAAAGAAAAGAGAAAAAAAAAACAGCCAATCAGAAACACTTCAAGGATGATAAGGACACCAGATGTTTTCCTAAATTCATAGCCCACAAAATAAAAATTTATCTATCTACTTACGCCAAAAAAAAAAATATCCCTCAAGAAAACCAAGTTCATTCTCAAAACCCATAATCGATAAATTCATTGAAAGAGTCATCCAAGGTTGGAGATAGAAGGTTACCTGCTTAGAATAACCGATCCAGAGAGAAAACCCGTCTTCTTTTCTTCTGAAAAGATGGACAGAGCGACAGTGATTTCAGAAGTGATGATGCTCTGTCCACTGTCTAGACTCTAACACCAAAGAAAAAGATAAAGGGTTAAAGAAAAGAAAGAGAGAGAAAGAGAGAAAAAGCAACAGAGGGATAAACCCCTTTGCACGCTTTTTGGCTTCCTTCCTTCCCCTTCCTTGCTTACCGCGCCTTCAAGTTACTCGCCGTTAATGGAAAATCGATTCTTTTTCATTTATATTTTCTTCTTCCAAACAAAGAAAAATGGTATGATTTTTCCTTTCCCGTTTATTTAGCTCTTCTTTTAGAGCTTGCCTGGGATCACGTGGACAGATTTATGAAGTTTACAGAGAAAAAGTAGTCACTCACCTCACCGTCGGGAAACCGTGAAATCTCCATATTTAGACTTGAGACAACGGATTTCACGTCCCCTGTTCGAGCTGAGATTATGAGAAAACAAACAAGGCTGCATGACTTTACTAAAATAACCTTCCTTATTGCGAGTACTACGTACGATTCCTTGAATGCTGAGAAGGTAGGAAACTAGGAATATTATCATTCTAGGCTATCCTTTTGGGAATTCAAAGCCAGTTGGCAGTTACTCTTTTCCCGAGTTGTTCAAATGAAAATAGGCCAAAAGGGTGAAAGTAATTGTTTGCTCTTGCTCAATTCTCATTATCAAGTGAATTCAACTACTTAATTAATTTAACAAGACTACTACGCTGATTATATATTTAGAAAAATCTCCACTCGAAGTTTGAGTTAAAAAGCTTGGCAAATTGAGTAAAACTTACAAAACACAGAAGTACTTTTTTAATTTTATGACGTACAAACATCTAATAAAAAGGACTTCCACAGGCGTAAGTCAAGAATCCAACATTAGAATACTGGAGTGGAGTAACGTATGCTTTGGTTCTTTTTCTCTCCCACCGTGTAGGCCCTCGTTTTTCGACGGAATTGGACCCCCTCAGTCAACAACCAAACGACCCTTTAAAATAAATAATTCAGAATATTAGTTAAGGCCAATACAATAAAAGGATTAGGAGGGGTATAAATTATAATATTGAATACGTCTTGCATGGCGTTTGGCTCCAATTGTGGAATTTATTAAATAAAATTGAGGTTGTGGGGCTGAGACTGATTAATCATGTGATGATGGGTCCCCCTTAAACCAATCATCTGGCATCGTTGTATGGTCATGACCATCCGATCAGGTAGATTACTAGGGTTTTTTAGGGTTAGTAGTAGGGTGGAGTTTCCCATTAGTAAAATCTTTGTAGATATAGATATGGGTGGAAGGAATTTGGATACCTCCTTAGAAAGTGTGGGTTGTTGGACTGAATTGGCTTTTTCCGAGTGAAGTCGCACTCAGGGCAAAAAGAAGGCAATCAGGATGCCTTAGGATGGAAGGGAAGGGAATTCCGAATTGAAACCCTACCACAATAAGGTAGTCAAGGATGCTATTGATACCTTTACTGGGCTATTAAAACATCACACATATTCTGGAGAAATGTTTGAATCCTACGTTTAGAATTCCTTAATTAAGCACATACATATTCCCTTTGGGAAGAGTAAAAGAGAAGGAAAATATACAAATGAGCACACATTTCCACAGCTAAGTGAACTAGCTGACACCCATGTAGAAGACAGCAATCAGTCCTCACCATCAAGGTTATGAAATGGAAGACCCATATAAACCAACTAGCAAGGTGAAATTTTATGCATCAGGAGTATCGATATATCCCGATATAAAACAAAGAATATATCCGTCTTTGAACGACCTTATGCTCAATTGATACGTAACGAAATTTTGATCCTTGTTGCGACTGAAATTATAACACTAACCTGGCTCTCGAGTTCAGTGTTAAGGACATGGGTGGGAGTTCATGGATAATACCAAGGTGTAGAGTTGCATACAACAATGGTATATCCACCATAAAAGTTGTAAAGGTTTGAAGAGAAAAAATATGGGAAAATGCTAAAAATAATTGCAATAAATTTGATATTTATTTTGGGGGTAAATTCTTTGTACTGTTTGGAAAGGGTGCAGAGTGGCCATTTCACTCTGTTTCCTTTCAAATATGATATAGTACATTTCAACCGTGTATTGGGAACCATCTCCGATTAACAAGTATGGAAGATATTCCCAATGCATGCTGAAATGTGCATGTGGAGCCCTGATGTGATCTCATGGGATCAAACCGTATAAGTACAGGTTCTCATTGGTAAGGTTAGTGGACCTCACCTGCACTTCCCTGTCCCTGCTGTCTCCACCCTTTCATATATAATACCAAAATAGATAGATGACATTATTTTTTGGCCCTAAATATATAAGTAATAAATTTGTCCTGAAATCAGGATGCAATTAATTTCCTCTAACTGCTTCCCCATGGAGCTATGGTACGTATAGCATAGTACATATGCCGACAATCAAGAGGTAATTGGTTGCATTTTGATTTCAAGGCCAATTTTTATTATCAAAATTAACAGTGTAATTATTAATTTTCTTTTATAATTTTGTTTTTAACAATTATTACATTAGATATAATTTTATTTATTAGTATGGAGTAAAGTATTAGACAAACATGAAATAATATACTTAAAAAAATGAATATAACCCCATTCTATACATTAAAATCCACTCATAAATTAGCATCAATTCCGAATTGATACCCACTCCAACTGTACTTTAGGCCTAAAAATTCTTAACACTGGGCTGAACCGTCATTCCCCCGTTTATAATTTAGCAATAGATATGGCTGTAAGAAATGAATGGTAAACCACAAATCTAGCCAATTTCATTTACTTTGGACACTGCTTAATGATGATAATGATGATAGTTTATTTATTAGTATAATAATTAATTCCTTTCACAAGTTGGTGTAAGAATATTGTCTCGAAAGTCAAAGTATCACATTTAATTATTAACACTCCTCAACATAGAATATTTAACTAATAGTTCATAAATATATTTAGAGGGAGAGGGAGAACGGAACCGATCACCTGACCGATTCCCAATTTTTCCGGTTTAACCATCCGATCTGGTCTAGTTTTGAAAACCATGGCTCAAAGACATTTAAAAGGAAATGAGAGACTTAATGGAGGAGGAGAGATATTACAAAGATTGACGATTGAAGAGGGAGAGGGAGATTTAAGAATGGCTTTATTGAAGTAGATTAATGATAGATTTTAATATGTACTTGACTGGAACATAATCTATCAGAATTCTAGAACTAGTTAACAAATGAAAATCATAAAAAAAATAGTATGAATTATTTGGTTGTTGGTGCTGCAACTCTCTAAGCAATGATATTTCTTGTGTGAGGACAACTTACAGCTCATAAGTTCAAGGCACTCTGTCAATGTGTTGAAAATGTTTAAATTTTAGAAAGAAAATATATGTTTGGTGAATACACTATTAATGTTTTAGGTCAGATTTGGGATCAGCAATTAGTTAGGTGGGATAACTGCATCTTCTTCTATTTCCCCTGAAGTGAGATAGTTGATCCAATAATTTATGGTTCCATTGGTTCAATTCAATCAACTGCATCTTTCAAATATTTATATTTTATTAAACTATTTTTTCTAATCTCTTTTCAAAATAAAAATAGCTACCACATGACAAAAATATATTACTTTTGCTAGTTGTTTTCATTTTTTGCTGATGTGGCAAATGTTCCAAGTCATATTTGAAAGAATCATATGGGCCTTTACTTCTCCATCTTGGAAGTATACACTTCCACTTTTCACTGTTGATGTTCAAGCCACCTCATTTAACATTCAAAAATTTTCAACATAACAAGAGGCGTGGCTGAATCATCCATCGTGAAAAAGCGAAAATACTTATTTCCAGGACAGAGCAATTTTTTTTTTCAATCTTATGGCAGTTTGTTTGCAGTGTGAATTTCATTTGATTTAGTATAAATGAATAGAAGTAGAAATAGGTTGTGTCTTCTTACTTCTGCTTTTGATTTAACTTTGTTTTGTTTATTTGAAAGAAATGGAATAGGAAGTAAAATGATGATGTGGTTGTCAGTTTATATAAAAGAGAATGGAGGCGGGAGGAAGATTACTTGTTTGGAAGGAATGAAAGCATGCAAGAAGCATATTGATGTGATCTCGGCTTTCCCTTAGAAAGAATTAAGGTGGGAGGAAAGTGGTTTGCATCTGTACTGTCAATGAATGCAAATGAAATAAAAAGTGTAAAATTTGTATCCAGTTTAAATTTGAAGTGCAAACAAACAGAGCCCAAATTTAATATAAGTTATAACAAGGGATGGTCCCTTCCTTCCCTGCTCTCATGAAGGAGTGAAAGGGAACTCCATTAATGCATGCAAAACATTGCCATCAAACTGATGGAATTTCCAAATATAACCAACCGAGGACTAGCTCATTGGTGTGTTAGTTGGTTTGTTTCGGTATTGATGCAGAATTGGATCCCGCAACCAGTACTTTGGGAAAAAGGGGTCAAGGGGGAAGTTATTAATGGTGCATAGCACCGAATATTAAAAAAAAATATGGAATTTCCAAATATGGATTACTTGAATTTGAAAAGAAAAACAAAGAAAAATCCAAATGGTTGAAGGTTCAATCAATTTATGTAATTCTAGAGAAATAAAGGGGCATTTGGTAAGTGGTTTTGTGTTTCCATTGTGCTTTGGGTTCATCCATACAAATTTGGATGAGAAAGATTTTTCTACCTCAATTTGATTAATAGAAATTGCTATTTCTACCTAAAACATCAATTTTGATGTTTCTTATGCACACAAATTTTTTTAATTGAAATATTTGATCTAGTAATATGCCTTTTTTATTTGTTTTTTAGTTTTTTTTCAAATTTTACTTTTAAGTATATATGTATATATATAATATAATTTGTTGGATTTTAATCTCATAAGAGATTAAATTCAATGGATTTGATCGGTCAATTACATGAGAAATTGCACCTGCACACTTGATTGAAAAATTAGTTTTTCTCTTATAAAACCTAGTTTTGAACTTGTCCCACATTGGAAAATTATAATTTTGTTTTCAGTATTTTAATAGGAGTTGATTTACACTCCTTAGAAATAGTAGAGGAGAGTATGGGGGTTTGATACCGCACAACGCGCGCACGCGTGTTTGTGCGTGTGTACGACGCAATGAGATGCTTTAAAGGCGCACTTTGCTTATAATGATTGAAATTGTGACTGTTCAAAGTGCCTTCTCTAAACCAACACCTACCTTTTCTTCATACCTCTTCATAAACTATTTAAGGAGTATTAATCAGACTTCAAAACACACATTTTCGAAATCCACTTTCTCTCTCTCTCAGTCCGGTCTGCTATAGTCTCACAGAAGGTTTCTTCGGAGATTCTTCAACT